ATTTTCTTAACATTTTGGCTACAACCGAGCACATACTCGTATTGTATTACTTTGAATTTAGTTTTATATTTATCTGCCATTTAGCACATTATTATTATTATTATTATTATTATTATTAACAACAGCTAGACGCTCGGCTGCGGATCGACATGTCGTAGGTTCGGATCCTGACGGGGGCCGGACTTTTTGTGCAAAAATGACCTTTACTCCCAGGTCGACCCAGCCTTGAATGGCCGCCAGGCACAGTCCTGGGAAGTAAAGTCGGCCTGCGTGATGCTAACCACATCACCCACCAAGTTCCGTTTGGTCTATAAAATATCGGTCTAGCCCTATATACCTAATACGCATGAAAGGCGTTTAAAATGGGTCCTTAACTTTACTTACTTATTGTCATTAATCACGTAAACATAGGCCCAATAGACTTCCATCCACAATTATTTTTGTAGACCTTTATGTCTAACGTTAATCACAAACGGAAAAAAAAAATAGTGAAAAGAATGACTGATATCCTGTGGGATTTCTCAAAGTTCACCATTTCCATGAACAGAAAAATAAACTTTAATATTGCTGCCCTGCAAGAAAAGGAGCAGCAAGAAAAAACGGCGGCAGCGGCCACAGAGAAATTCATCACCAGGGGATGATTGTGTTTTCGCGGAAAATATTAATCTTCCCAGCACTGGCGTTGTCAACCCAACAGGGGAAAATATAGACAGGACGCACGGGCAATATCTTGTGGAGGGATGTTTTACAGCGGCCTTTTTTCCCTTGGTGTTTGTAGGGGGCTATTGCATACTACATAAGGTACGAACGAACGAACGAACGAACGAACTTTATTTTCAAAGGGTTACAAATTGGGCACGCAGGCCCGTCTGACATTCGGCCCTTCTAAGCACTCGTTTTTCAGAGTACCAATGCCTGTTATCTAAAATGCATGTTATAGATATAGAATAAAAATATACATTATAGAATATAATACATACATCTTGTGCACACAACCTTACACACTCACACATATACCCAATCAGCACAGAGTAACATCTCATACAGAGCATATTCATTTCCACCCTATGCTATCAGTGCCAGACATGGTCACTCACAACAAAACTTAAAAGAAAATTAGTAACCATGGAAATGAGGTGTCTGAGAAAGACTGTAGGAGTGACCAGAAAAGAGGATATCAAGAAAAAGGTCACACGAAATAAAGTCGGCACAGAACCAATTCTAAATTACATACAAAGACAGCAAATTAAATGGTTTGCCAACTTGGAGAGAATGCTTTCGGATGCTATACCATACAAGGCATACATCAAAATAGGAAATTGACGTAGAGCCAGAGGTAAACCAAGAACAAGATGGGAAGATATCAGATGTGTCTATGGTCGAAGCAGCCAGAAAAGCACGAAGCATGACCTTATATCTCCCTCGACATCAGAAGCGGTAAAAGAGGACCTAAAGAATAAGAAGAAGATTGGATGCAACTCTTGTTGTTTAGATTAGAGGACTGTTCTTCTGTTCCTTGTCCATACTAGTGGTTTTTATATGAGAAGCCAGCAGGCTTCTATAAAGTCTGTGGTGCCACGCATGTCTTCCACAGTTCCATACAGCTTGGTTTCTATTTGAATGCCAGTTGCTAGCAGGCTTCTATAAAGTCTGTGGTGCCACGCATGTCTTCCACAGTTCCATACAGCTTGGTTTCTATTTGAATGCTAGTTAGCCCAACCAGGAGACTCTATAATGCAGCGGTTCTCAACCTGCCCGTCGCAACCCCTTTTTTCGTGGGTCAAACGACCTCGTCACAGGGGTCGCCTAAGACCATAGAAAACACATATTCATTGGAGTTGTGTAGGAAAATAATTGTTTGGGGTCGCCACAACATGAGGGAACTGTATTAAAAGGTCGCGGCATTAGGAAGGCTGAACGCCACTACTTTAATGCATGTAGCGAGAAAGTAACGAAGGCATTTAGGATATTGTAATTCGACTCTCCGTTTTGTTCTGTTGCTTGTTACGTAATTCTTAAAAATCGTTTTTAATACTTTACTCCCCACGTGGGTTCCAGGCTGGGGGGGGGGGGGACGACCCACTTTTCCACCCATAACTACCGAAGAGTGATATTAGCAGGGTAACTGCAGTGAAGATAGCATAAACAGGTAATCCACTAAACTAGGAATAACTGTAAAACTCAACGAAGATGGGAAGGAGGAAAACGCACACGCAGGAGCAGTCAGAAACAATGAGACTTCAGGATACTTTCCCCCTTGTTGTTGTTATAGTTGTTGTTGTTGATAAAGGTGGCTGCCGAAGCGTCAAGTATTTCGTGCGTATATAGTTGTCCCCTTAACGTCTTTATTAAGCTTCTTGATCACAGTTAAGTGGAAAAATTTCTTAACACTCGTCGTGACTGGCCTCCATGTTCTTTTCACCCAGCAGCAAATTGTATATCATGTAAAAAAGGTTGTTGCGTATCCTTTACAGGACGTTGCAGAACCAACCCTAACAGCCCCTGGCTGTTGTGTGGTTTCTCTAGGCAAATTTACGTCTAGTAGTTTGCCATTGCTTTCTAGACGGTCAGCTTTCTTGATACCACTGTCGAAACCACCACAAGGCGCATTGCCCGCAGCTGGGATCGAACCCGGTATCCCGGCATTACGAAGCGAAGTGTTCGCATCGACGTAGCCACAGAGCCGACTGTATATCATATAAAGCGATAAATTCAGGCTTTGCATATATCGGATATATTGAGTCGAAAAGTGGAGATATCACAGCAATAGACCACAAAACAAAGTGCATTCTGTCCTTTAAAGAATGAACGAAGAAAAAGAATAAGTAGAAGAAAAGAAGAAGAAGAAGAAGAAGAAGAAGAAGAAGAAGAAGAAGAAGAAGAAGAAGAAGAAGAAGAAGAAGAAGAAGAAGAAGAAGAGGAGGAGGAGGAGGAGGAGAAGAAGAAGAAAAAGAAGAAGAAGAAGAAGAAGAAGAAAAAGAAGAAGAAGAAGAAGAAGAAGAAGAAGAAGAAGAAGAAGAAGAAGAAGAAGAAGAAGAAGTAAAATAAAGAAGAAGAAGAAGAAGAATAAGAAAAAGAAGGAGGAGAAGAAGGAGGAGGAGGAGATAAAGCAGAAGAAGAAGAAGAAGAAGAAGAAGAAGAAGAAGAAGAAGAAGAAGAAGAAGAAGAAGAAGAAGAAGAAGAAGAAGAAGAATTTACTGTTAAGCTGTTTGTTGGTCTGTCTGACAGTAGGTAGGTCGTTCGAAAAAAAGGGTCTTTCTGCCTCAGTATACGAGATGATTAAAACTGGAGAATAAGAGAATCTCCCCGCCCCCCCCCCCCACAACAAATTAAAAAAAAAAAGAAGAAGAAGAAATTGAAAAAAAAAGTAAAGATCCCTTTTAACGCCATCGCGTATATGGGTAAAGCAGCCTATATTTTTACAGACCAATCGGCGCTAAGTGGTTAATGTGGTCAGCATTAGGCCGGCCGTCTTTACTTCCCCACCACAGCCATCTTGGTACCCATTTTCGGCTGGGTCGACCTGCGACACCCCGTACCATGATAACAACCCCTGCAGCCAGCAGTGGGTCTCAATCGGTACGTTGGAATTACGAGTCGGACTCGCAACGCCTAAGCCACGGACGCCGCATAATAAGAAATTCACTTATAAAAAAACAAAAAAAACTATGCATTAAAAGGTAATTCTCATGTGAAAGTCATAAACTCCGTGGCTTACTGAGGGATACACTAGAGTCTAATAATAAAACATGAGGCAGAATTCGCATAGTCTGGACAATGCGTTCATCTACGTCTTCTAAATATCCAAATAGTTATTCTATATTTAAATAAAGCATCATTATGCAGCATCTTTTATGTATATTTCTTGTTTTTCACAGATGCAAGCAACCACATACAGAGAAATATGATGTTTTATTTGCGAGGATTTTGAGCAGCATTTGAGGAGATTTACTGAAACGATTTGAGAAGATTTAGTGGCAACGTAATGAGATTCACTGGCAGTTTTGGGGAAACGAACATTTACAATGTACTGAAGCGATGTGGTCGTTTGGTTGTATACTTAAAATAACATTTACTACAATTGATTTTCACTTATAGAAGACAGTATTGACACCAAAACACACAGAAGACAGTGAAGAGATTGGAATATGGAAAAACACTATTTCAAGCACATCACATGACGTCAATTTTGTGTCTTTATATCAATGACATAATGTCTGCAAATCCTCCTGTCGTCGCACGTGCCCCATAATACAACAGAGGAAGTCACCCAGAACGTTTTCCCAACACGCCTCTGGGGTCTGTCTTCCAAACGTCACAGGTCTTTGTGTCTGTCAGTTGCCTAGCGACAGGATATTTTGATTTCTTGGCTACACGAAGCGCGGCTAATAGACGAGATGTCCTGGGAATACAAAATAATTCGACCATCTATTTGTCTGTATCGACTTCAGTAATCATAACTGACTATTTCTTCATCGGTCACGTGCAATTGGTTGCACGTTTTCCCAACGCTAGTTTACAAATGTGCGCACTCTGGTTGGAGCGAATCACGGATTCTTGACTTCATAGAGTTCATTTGCCAGTATAGAGATTTCTTGCGGCAATTACATGACTCTTTACTCACTTGGTCCTGGGTAACTGGGTAGCCCCAAGCCAGGTTGGCCCACCCCCAGAGAGTGCAAGGGGCCGAGACATTCGGGGAAGGGGCGAACCCGCTTCTGACGATCGGAAGCTTCCTGTTGTGCTCTCTCCTTCGTAGATCTACTACTACAGGTTATCGCAAATCAGTACAAACGTAGGACAAAAGGGGTTGATATACAAGTTTTCATTGGTCAACGGGTTAGAACGGTTTACTATGACGGTTACCGTGGGCGGAAGCCGTTGAGTGACATTCTTGACACCGCCTGCTGCACGTCTTGCTGTTCCACAGCTGACTCATGAACTCAGCAACGATCTCGTTCACGCACCGCCCAATGGCTGTGGGTCATCAACAATCCACAATGCTGGACTGCAGCAAAGAAACCTACACTCACGGGGATCTCTCTGGAACGGCAATTGCTGTGGATTCCGTGTACGTCCTTAACCAGATCATCATCTCCGCTGTTATAGTCACCTGTTTTGTGTGCACAAAGACGATAGTCGACAACTTACGACGTAGAAATGCACGAATCACAGTGGTCATCGTCGGAGCCGGACCAATAGGATTAACCTCCATGCTGGTCGCTGCCCGTTGTGGGCGTGTCTCCCGGATAGTCCTTTATGAAGAAATGTGTAAATTGGTGCTCTACAATAAACCGCACCAGATAGCTTTCGATGTGAAAAGTGTGCATTTTCTTAAAAGACTGGGTGTGGATTTTGACAACATTGAGGGTTGCTGGGATGCAGGATGTTTCTATACACGTCTGGGTGTTTTCCAGGAGTATATGCTGACCACAGTTCCTAAACTGGGTGTACCGGTGGATTTGCGATTAGGAACAAAGGTGAGTGTTTACTTTTAATTGTCGTGTTATTTTGTACATACATTTTTGTTCCAGGTGCTTGGTAAATAGGCTATTGTTTCAGGATCTTTGTACAGACACTCTAATACTCGTTGTTTCATCGACACGCCAGTAATTTTCTTTGCTCACACACCGGCTTCAGTTTTCTCACTAAAACGCACAGTTGTCTTAACTGCTTCGGCTGCACGCAGTCGTCACAGTTCCTTCATGAAATCTTCAATGTTTTACTTCTTGCGTTAATATAATTGTCTTTCTTACTTCATTTCTACACTCTCCGGCAAGTGTGAGCAACAGAAGATAGCATTCTGTGCATCCAGCCTACGACCTTTCGAGCACAAAGCAGACCGGGAACCCCCAGCAGCCCTTCACGTGTCATCTATCAGCATTAGTCTTTTTCTGCTCCTCCTTTTCTCCCCTTCCTCCTCCTTCTTCTTCTCTTCCTCCGCTTTCTTTCTTTCTTTCTTTCTTTCTTTCTTTCTTTCTTTCTTTCTTTCTTTCTTTCTTTCTTTCTTTCTTTCTTTCTTTCTTTCTTTCTTTCTTTCTTTCTTTCTTTCTTTCTTTCTTTCTTTCTTTCTTTCTTTCTTTCTTTCTTTCTTTCTTTCTTTCGTTCGTTCGTTCGTTCGTTCGTTCGTTCGTTCGTTCGTTCGTTCGTTCGTTCGTTCGTTCGTTCGTTCGTTCGTTCGTTCGTTCGTTCGTTCGTTCGTTCTTTCTTTCTTTCTTTCTTTCTTTCTTTCTTTCTTTCTTTCTTTCTTTCTTCTTTCTTTCTTTCTTTCTTTCTTTCTTTCTTTCTTTCTTTCTTTCTTTTCTTTCTTTCTTTTTCTTTCTTTCTTTTTCTTTCTTTCTTTCTTTCTTTCTTTCTTTCTTTCTTTCTTTCTTTCTTTCTTTCTTTTTTTCGTTCGTTCGTTCGTTCGTTCGTTCGTTCGTTCGTTCGTTCGTTCGTTCGTTCGTTCGTTCTTTCTTTCTTTCTTTCTTTCTTTCTTTCTTTCTTTCTTTCTTTCTTTCTTTCTTTCTTTCTTTCTTTCTTTCTTTCTTTCTTTCTTTCTTTCTTTCTTTCTTTCTTTCTTTCTTTTTTCTTTCGTTCGTTCGTTCGTTCGTTCGTTCTTTCTTTCTTTCTTTCTTTCTTTCTTTCTTTCTTTCTTTCTTTCTTTCTTTCTTTCTTTCTTTCTTTCTTTCTTTCTTTCTTTCTTTCTTTCTTTCTTTCTTTCTTTCTTTCTTTCTTTCTTTCTTTCTTTCTTTCTTTCTTTCTTTCTTTCTTTCTTTCTTTCTTTCTTTCTTTCTTTCTTTCTTTCTTTCTTTCTTTCTTTCTTTCTTTCTTTCTTTCTTTCTTTCTTTCTTTCTTCTTCTTTTTTTTTTCCTTCTTCTTCTTCTTCTTCTTTTTCTTCTTCTTCTTTTTCTTCTTCTTCTTCTTCTTCTTCTTCTTCTTCTTCTTTTCTTCTTCTTCTTCTTCTTCTTCTTCTTCTTCTTCTTCTTCTTCTTCTTCTTTCTTCTTCTTCTTCTTCTTCTTCTTCTTCTTCTTCTTCTTCTTTCTTTTCTTCTTCTTCTTTTCTTCTTCTTCTTCTTCTTCTTCTTCTTCTTCTTCTTCTTCTTCTTCTTCTTCTTCTTCTTCTTCTTCTTCTTCTTCTTCTTCTTCTTCTTTCTTCTTCTTCTTCTTTCTTCTTCTTCTTCTTCTTCTTCTTCTTCTTCTTCTTCTTCTTCTTCTTCTTCTTCTTCTTCTTCTTCTTCTTCTTCTTCTTCTTCTTACAACTACAGCTGGACTGCAACGCATCCGATTTCAGCACGCCACTAACTAGTTACTTTGGACAACATGTTGAGGGGCAGCGGGTCTATCCTCCCACATCCATCCAATCCCCAACGGCTCCCGGCACTCACACGAAGAAGTTCTGATGAATGTTTGCGTGTGTAATTCTCCTAACCTGTGGCAACAGTATGGGCGGCCCACAACTTGAGAACCCCTGACATAGAAACGGCTGGGGAAACAGCTGTACAATGGAACTGGTTATTGATTTCTGACAGTCGTCTCACTTTCCTATAATTAGACGTCACGTTACTGACCAGTTATTTAATTACCGCCCAGATAATTGATTGGGTTATTCAACTCACGAAATGTGAATCTAGCGTTAGTGAAAGTCACCACAGTGAAAAATACTGCAGAATACAGTGGCCTGAATCAGTGTGTACCTACCTGTCGACTTACCACCCAAAAGTACTTGAACCTCGGCACTCAGACATCTTGAGCCAGACAGACAACAGTTTTGTGTGTGTGTGTGTGGGGGGGGGGGAGTGGATGAAATAATTGTTACGGAGAAGCCCCCTTTCCCTTCCCCCACCCACCCTAGATGTATATAGGTGTCCTCTGTAAGCATGTATTCATTAATGTCATACTATTTCAAACACATTATTCTATTTATTTGCCTTTACCCACACAATAATAATATTAATAATAACAGTTATTATTATTGCCCAGTAAAACA